GCGCGAAGCGCTGTGAGATCTTCAGCGAGTCGCACGAAGGGTGCGCTGCATCCTGCTAAGGATTTTCGGCATCTTGTGCTTACTTCCTTGCGTACGGATGACAGCTGCGTATGAATTAATTTATTTTCTGGTGCTTTCACTTCCAGAGACAGTTGTAAGCATTGTGTGACTGCCTCGAGGATGCTTGACCATTTTAACACAACGTGGTGCGATCGTCCCCCTTGCGCGGAGCGAGGGTTCTCCACCCCGCACAACATGATCTACTCGACCACCATTATGGTCACCGCCAAAAAAAAAAACAGAGGTAAAAAAAAAAAACGGTAACCAGGTTGCCGAGTTCACGAAGTGAATTGGCTTGTTTTACAACGTCGTTGCCAAGCGACGAAAACCCAACCCCGATGGCGAACACCGAGTCTAGTTGGGTTGTGTTTTAGTAGTTCCAATACCGTGAAGGAGGCCACAAATCGCGTGCTATTTTGCGAAAAGCGCGAACCGAACCAGCGGTAAGGTAGCACCTGCTGCTAAATCCTTTACTGTTCGATTCTTATCGGAGAGCTTGGCTTTTTACGAAAAGATTGCATTGTGTTGCGATGTGCGTACCGGTAGCTACTATAAATAGGTAGCGATAATTTTTGCTGTAGTTTTCCCGAAAAGAGCCGACCTATTTCACTGTAATTGTGATGGGAAATTGAAGCGGAATTGCTCTGTTCTTTTCAGTGTCTCAAGCGTCAGCTAACTGACCGCTATGCATGCCGTCTCGCGGCTCGTTTCGACGATTAAAATCGATTTGACTTTTCTCAGACATTATCTCGAAAAGCAAATGGTACGCAAGGGCAGAGAGAGCTACACCTCTCACGGAGCGGTAGCGCTCTTTGCAGAGAAAGCGTAGCTAGGCATACAAATGTAGCTGTTTCCTGTGACGTGTAGAGTAGACAGTAGACAGGGCAACATGCTTCGCGCGGGCAGATTTGGCCGAGGTGGCGATCGCGCCAATAACCAATTTTCAATTTTCACATTTTTTAGATTGGGAAAAATAAATATCGACACACAAGACTACAAAACGCGTTCGAGTTACAACCGCATGTTGACATTCGATTACACTACGATGATCTTGGACGATACCTCGAGCTCCTTGTTATTTTTGTTTTTTCCTTTGCTGGCTGCCTGCCACCTCTGCTGCCTCTTTCGTGCGGTGCCTACCCTACACTAATGCGCTGGTGCATACTGCACTGCTGAAGTACCTGGTACTGGTGTACGTTGTCCTTCGATTTTTTTATTTTTTTGTGGGAATATATATGTGTTGGTTTTTCGCCCCCCGTCTTGCTGCACCCCCTGGGGTGTGGTGCAGGGCGGNTATTTTTCCAAATAATATAAAAAAAAAGAAGAAACGTGTAGGACTTTTTTCTGTTTCTTCGTGGGGTCGTGTATGCCGGGTTTTGAGACCACGGGCTCCCCATCTTTCTTTTTTAGAGCTAATGTGAGAAACAACAACAACCACAACAACAAACAACAGCCGCTGTAGTTTTGTTGCTTGTTTTTCTCCCATCATTGGACTCTGTCGTCTGCCCCTCTGGCCCCTATCCTCCACTTCTACTAGCTAGACGACCCAACCGGGGTCACATAGGAGGGGGGGGTTGGACCCCCTCCTGCGGTTCATGCCTGAGGTATTTTTATCGCGAGAAGGGTACAACAATCCCTTCCCTCGCGACTTACGAAGTCGATTATGGTTTACAAACCAACGAGCTTTGCAGCGCATCGCTTTCATCCTAGACCAGGATTTATTTAGTGAGAAAAAAAACTCTGTCTGTCCGGACTCGAACCAATGACCTGGCCCTTAGCAGGCTTCGAGGCTACCCACCAGACCACCGGGGCGACCGGTGTATCGTACACATGGGACCGCCGAAAATTGAACCCTACCGGCTGACTCTTCTTTCATTCTGGAAAACGAACGCTTGCTGACGAAACAGCACACCCACACCCACACAGCGTGTACATGTGTACCACCCGCAGCAATAAAACTTTCACGCAGCGGAAGCGCCTGCAGATACTGAACCGCTGTTGCATATGGACGCACGTCCGTTTTATGTCGGCAAAAGACAACCAACGGGCGGCACATGAAAATTCAATTAGTTTGCTGGCACCAGTTGTTTTAGCCAGGTGTTGTGCGGTGCTACCGGTTCTCTGGTTTTCGGCGCGACACGTTCACAATAGGCTCCTCCGGCACCTTCAGCCGAGTGTGTAGCTTCTCTTCCCGTCGTCTCATCCCACGTACGCACGCACGCACGCTTGCACGAGTGCTTTCCTCCGCAATCCGCTGGTGTCTTCTGTCTATGCCTTTTTTCCGGCGAGAGTTGTTGTTGTTGTTGTTTCTCACATTAGCTCTAAAAAAGAAAGATTGGGAGCCCGTGGTCTCAAAACCCGGCATACACGACCCAACGAAGAAACAGAAAAAAATAGGGTACGAGTGTTTTGCCGGGACTACATGCGCCCGTCGTCAGATTCCAGCAGCAGCAAGAAACTACAAAATTTTACATACACCTCAACCTGTATGCGTACAACAATCTCAAAAAAAAAATTCATCTGCTGTAGTAGATGCCTGTGCTCTGATGAACGCTGAGGAAACCAACCTGGGCCAGCCGAAGACGTTTGGGGAACACTCCGGGTTGTTTAGCCTCGGATTTGACAGCAGAACGAGAAATCTCGACGACATCGTTGACGTTGACTTGCTCGCCGGTGCCGGCCAGCTCGAGAGCCCCATAGTGCCGTTGCCTCCCTGTGGGAGATGCCGGTGCTCGGTGGTTCTTGGGAGTCGAGACTGAGGAGCCGACCCATCTGGTCATCATCGCGATAGCCTCAACAGACCGGAGAGTCTGGAACCACCACCCACACGTTCGTAGCAACGCGCGGCAGGCCGCTCTCTTCCGTGAACAAGCGTGGGGGTGAAACCTGCTTTTTAGAAGGTTTGCGGATGGTGCAGCAGAATGCGTCTGCTGCTGCTGTGTGCCGACGCAAACGAAAAGATTAATTATTTTTTGACGGACCACGGGTTCTACAGTTTTGTTACCAGTTCCGGCCTTTTTTTCCGGTGGCAGCAAGGTGGCAGGGTAATGGATAGCAGTAGCAGTCTACGGGGTCTACGCAGATTTATCAACAGCTCCGCTCCGCAGATAAGGTGCGGTAGTCTGCACACGCTCGGCTGTGGTTGTTCTGGTTGTTGGGGAGATGTATAGATACACATAGATCTCGGCAAGCAACGGCAGCTGTAGACCCCACGCGTTGTTGATTCCCTTAGACTATGTGTCGCCCTTTTTTTTCTCGAAGATTCGAAGACTACCAGGCAGAGTCGGCTCTACAAGTGCTGACGTTATTCCACCGGCTTGGCCATGCTGCCGAGATTTCAACCTCTTTGCCCCCGAGACAACAAGTTCACAGCAGAATAACGTATATACATGCATGTGGTAATTGTGGCATGCCCATGAGACCGAGCCAACTCCTGACTGGTGCCTACCCGTAGTCTAGTGTACTTTCGCGTATTCTATCTCTACTTTTCTTTGTTTGGCCGTCAAAAAATCATGCAGGGGTGAACGTCGATCTGAGCGACTGACCGCCGGTAGGGGCATCACCTACCGCCCTTCCCAAGCAAACAAACAAATCTGTGTCGATGACCACGCTGATTATTCTCTTGGGCCGGCGTTCGGCATATTGGGCCTGTCGGCGTTCCGGCATACAAACCTGTACCGTTGCCCCAGCGCGCGGATGCTGCTCTGTCTGCGTGGTAAAGCTGAGAACAGCTGAATTTTCTTATGATAAGTACGTTTACCTTGGTACGCTGATTGTCACGAAATTATAATACATGGTACGCTGACAACTGCCCGGTTGATTTGCTGTTGCCTCTTTATTTCAACAGGCCAGGCTGCACGTGAAACACGTTCGAGGGTTCAAGGGTCCAATTCGACCGGTAATGGGAGATGAAACAAACGCCAAAGAGTTGATAGATGATTCTACAACACAACACAGAGGTATTTTTAGGTAGACTACATAAAGGTCTATATGTGGACTACGTACCGTCGTCTGACGGAGGATACGATAGTTCAGAAGTACGTAGAGTAGAACCCAGACCACTATAACTGCCAGTAGTCTACCAAAGTAGGCAGTGGTACTACGGTGGCCTGTTGTACTTCAACAGACAGACTAGTCGTTGTGGGTGGAAGGGTGTATCAACAACTTTGTGCGCGTAAGCGAAGCAACAGGGACGGGCGAAAACCGTCAACGAGCCAAGAACAACGCGAAGAGAAGTAGACTACAGACTCAGGAAACACACTTTATAGATGTGGCAGGGTATCAGTGTGGAGACAGCAACAACAACCTGGAGTGGGCCACAACCTTACAATATAAAACCTCTTTCTGTCCGTCTAGTCTCTAGTCGAACACTTGACGGGGTCGATTCCCGTGGTCACAGGCTAACTTAACCCAAACAGGTATACGAAAGTAAAATGGACCCGAAGGATCTGCAAGCCAATGAAAGTTAACGACATATAGTCTAGCCCACTCCGCTCGCCTCCACACGTTATGCGAGGTAACCCTAGATTGAAAGAACGAACAAAGAACTAGTCTAGTCTAGACTAGAAAAAGAAAAGAATTGAAGAGAGCGAGGACAGCGAAGGAGAAAGACACAAAGACACATGCGCCCCCGGTCGCCCCGGTGGTCTAGTGGGTAGCCTCGCAGCCTGCTAATGGGCCAGGTCATGGGTTCGAGTCTCGACAGAGTGAGTTTTGTCTCGCTAATTAAATCCTGGTCTCCGTTGGAAGCGACGCGCTGCAAAGCGAGTATTTCAGATGGATCCAACCTAAGGGGGGAGGAGTCTGAAATTGGTGTTTATTGGAGTTGATGAGAAGTGAGATGTATTATTATTTTGTTTGCCCTCGGACAATTGTTGTTGTTGTTGACTTCACATTAAACCGTATGCCAGTTGCTAAATGCCAAAATCTAGCAAAGACTCTCAGCCCGTGGTCACGAAAGTGCTAGAGCCATCTGAGGATCTAAAGAACACGCACACGTAGCAAGAAAAAGGTATCCAAGAGCCCGAAGAGGTACTACTACACCTATATAATCCCTGCAGCACCATACGCGTGCCCAAAACTGAACTACACGTCCGTCTCACCGTTCGACTACAG